CCCAAATCTATTGATTTCTTAATGATAACTTGGTAATTTGAGTTCAAGACTAGCTTGAAAGTTGCCTTTACAAGCTTTTCATAATGAAAATAGCGTATGTAAACAGGATTGTACAGGAAGGTTTCAGGTAATTGGATGGACTAACTGATGTCAAGACTAAACGCTTTGGAGCAATGGTTTTCAAACTAGGCTTTGTGGGTATGTTCATGAAGTTACAGGGGTTCTAGCACCATCCAGGTATTGTGTTTTCATTTTGATAATTAAAATCATTGTAAATGTTTGTTGGACCCTTTGCATTATTATAATGAAATACTGTCAACCTGATGACCCACATTTGCATTTGCTGTTTTAACTTTCAAAATAGTATTTTTCAAACTGGGATCTATGGACATACTTTCAGGGGTCCTTGAAAATTTGACTTTAAAAAAAATTTTTTTTAACATTTATTTATTTTTGAGAGAGAGAGACAGTGTAAGCAGGGGAAGGACAGGGAGAGAGGGAGAGACACAGAATCTGAAGCAGGCTTCAGACTCTGAGCTGTCAGCAAAGAATCTGACATGGGGCTCGAACTCACGGACTGTGAGATCATGACCTCAGCTGAAGCTGGACACTCAACTGACTGAGCCACCCAGGTGCCCCAGAGAATTTGTTTTTTCTTGAAAATATTTCTCAAGTTTGAAGGACGCCATTTTAGAGGAATTGTGTATGTACAAACAACTGACACATTAGTGACCCACTTCACCTGTTTATTGATCGGTCGTTAATACCCCCCTTAAGCCTGTTGAGAGGAGTGAGCCACTGGTAGCTTTCTGATCATGGACCATGTGTATGTCTGAAATTTATTTTTACAAGTACTTTCTCACTAACTAGAGTCGACTTAATTCCTTCCAAGTTAAACTGGATGTGTTTCTTACGTCATAAATATCGTTAACTTTAACTTTTTTCCAATTCAGGAATTGATTCCGAAGGCCATGCAGCCAACTTTGTAGAAACAGAGCAAATTGTGCACTACAATGGGAGCAGGGCTTCTTTTGTGCAGGCAAGTGGCAAGTGGATGTGTCTGTGAGGCAGCCCGCCAGCTGCTGCTTTTGCTTGGATCGTAATCTTCTGCACTGTTGTTGAAATTGCCCTCCTCCTTGCTGCTTTTTAAAGCGGCACCATCTACAATGTGGAAAAAGTTCACTCAGTACAAGCTACTCCATTAACCTGGCACTCACCTGCCCTTGAATTGAATCCCGGAGGAGAGGGGAGGGGAGGAGATTCAAAGGTTACGGAAGGGAGCCGCCTGTCTGCCCCACCCTCCAGACTTCAAGGCGCTGGTGATGGGGCCCCTGCCCGTGTGATGGCTTTTCCCACCCTGCACTTCTTCGTGGGACAGCCTGTCTCTTGTTGTCTCCTTGTGGGGTCATGGGTCATTTGCTGCTCCAGAGGAACAGCAGTGGCTCAGGCTATTCACAGGTTCATGAACTACTCATTTGGGAATGAATAAAGCAGTTTCTGGTTTTATCATAATACCATATTCTGTAAGACATAACTTACTAAGTTTTACTTGTAGATAAATTGATTTATTTTAGAGTTTAGGGGAAACAGAACTGTTTGTTGCCCAGGGACCAGGTACATAAAACCAAGGAGAAAAAGTCCTTTCCGAATACATTCCTACAAAATAGGAACTTGGGGAGTAGGCAAGTTCACGGACTCTTTCATGGTTGTAGGTTGTATTTAATTTTTTTTCCTTTGTAGGCAGTGACACACACGCGCCCCTGACAGTAAGTTAGCTGAGACAGTAAGTTAGCTGAGACAGGTGTGTGTGTGTATTTTCATATTTTCACATTTCTCTCTCTTTTCTTTTAGACTCGAGGATCAATACCACTTTTCTGGTCTCAAAGACCAAATCTCAAGTACAAACCGCTGCCGCTGATCAACAAAGTAGCAAATCATGTGAGTATCTTCTGTGCTTTTTTCATTGGCTAAAAATAGGAGCTGAGTGGCATCATAGTTTGCATGTGGAGCACATATTTATTTCTTGCACGTCAGAATTCAGCATCTCTGCCGCCTCTTTCCTGGGTTCTGGCGCCCAGTGAACCTCTGACCCACGGGCTGTAGGGACGGCCTGTTGGAAATGCAGAGAACAAGCTGATCGAACGGGATGGCAAATTTAGATTTTTGAGCTCTCGTAACATTTGCCGCTTCGTGCTGTTCCGAGTACCTAGTGTATTCTGTTTGACGTTGTGCGCAGAACGAAAGTATGGTATTGCAGCTCAAAATTGAGTGGCTTGGAGTTAGTTTATCACACGGTATTTAGGGGACCTGGTCTCAATCGTAGTGCCATTCTCTTGAATATACAAATAGGACGTTTAAGGAGATCCTTTAAAAATTGTATAAATGTTCTTATAGTATAATCTGGTAAAGTGTGTAACCCTTTTTTCTTTCTAGATGGATGGTTTCCAAAGGCATTTTGATTCACAAGTTATTATTTATGGAAAACAAGTAATAATCAATCTGGTATGTGTCTTACATGTTTCTTGGGGGAACAAAACAAAAAACGTCTTAAAATATGTAACATCTATCATTATAACTGGTTTTAAGTGTGCAGTTCAGTGGTATAATGTGTTTTACAGTGTTGTGCAACCATCACAATTGACCGTTGCCAGAAGTTTTCATCATACCAAACAGAAACTCAGTATCCATTAAACAGTAACTCCTCTCCCGTCAGCCCCTGGTAACTGTTCTACTTGCTCTCTCTCTATATTTTCTAGGTACCCCACGTAGGTGGATCATAGAATATTTATTCCTTTGGCTCTTGTTTCTTTTACCGACTTAATGTTTTTAAGGTCTGTCTGTCCATGTTACAGCACGTATCAAAATTTCATTCCTTTTCAAGACTGAATGACACTCCATTGTATGTACCATATTTCGTTTACCCATTTGTCTGTGGATGGACATGGGGTTGTTTCTGCATTTTAGCTGTTGTGAATAATGCTGCTCTGAACCCTGGTGTGCAAGTATGTAGTTGAGTTCCTGCTTTCAGTCCTTTTAGGGCAACACCTAGAAGTGGAATTGCCGGATTGTATGATAGTTCTAGGTTTAACGTTTTAAGGAACCGCCGTCCTGTTCTTGACCGTGGCTACACGTCTTACATTCCCACCGGCAGTGCACCCGCATTCCAGTTTCTCCACATCCTTGCCAACACTTGGATTTTTCAGGATTTGTTTTGTTTTTTGATTATAACCGTCTTTTTGGGGGTGGAGTGCTATGTCATAGTGGTTTTGATTGGCATTTCTCTGGTGACTAATGACATTGAGCACCTTTTCATGTGCATATTGGACATTTGTAGGTCTTAGGAGAAGCATCTTCTCGAGTACTTTGCTCACTTTTAATCAGGTTGTTGTTTTGTTGAGTTATGGTAGTTCTTTATATATTCTGGAACGAATCCCTTCGTAGAGATGCTTTGCAAATATTTTCTCCCATTCTTTGGGTTGTTTTTGAGAACTGCTAGTTGTAGGTCTATTCAGATTTTGTTTTTTCAAGATTAACGTTTTGGTAGATTGTTTCTAGAAATGTGTCCATTTCATGTAGTTGTCCAGTTCATTGACATACAAATGCTCCTAGAATTCTCTTATAAACCTTTTTATTTCTTCAGAATTGGTAGTAATGTACTAGAATCATTCCTGATTTTAGTAAGTTGAGTCTCTCTTTTTTTTTCTTGGTCATTATAGCTAAAAGTTTGTCAATGTTGTTGATCTTTTCAAAGAACCAAATTTTGGTTTCAATGGTGTCTCTCTGGTTTTCTGTACTTTATTGTATTTATCTCTGCTCTAATCTTCATTTGCTTCCCTTTGCTAGCTTTGAGTTTCATTTGCTCATCTCTTTCTGGTTCTTTAAGGTGAAGTCCTTGATTTAAGGTCTTATTTTTTTAATGTGTATGTTCATAGTTGTAAATTTCCTTTGGTGTACTGCTTTTGCTGTATTTCATAAGTTTTGGTATATTTTCAGTTGTCTCCAGTTATTTTTTAGTTTCTCTTGTGATTTCTTCCTTAACGTAGTGTTTAAGAGTGTGCTGTTTAATTTCCACGTATTTATGAAATTTCTGGTTTTCCTTGTTATGAGGGTTAGAAGGGTTTCTGATCCATTCCACCGTGATCAGAAAACATACTTTGTATGACAGTTATTTTAAACATAGTTAAGACTTGTTTTGTGGCCTAAACATAATCTATCTTGGAAACTGTTCATGCATGCACACTTGAGAAAAATGTATCTTCGGTGGTGTTTTGGGTGGAGTGTTTGTTTGCTGGGTCTGATTTGTCTGTGGTGTTTAGCTTCTCTGTTTTCTTGTCGATCTTCCGTCTGGTTGTGCTCTCCATTGTTGAAAGGGAGCTGTTGAAATCTCTAAGTGTTATTGTAGACATGTTTATTTCTCTCTTCAGTTCTTTCAGTGTTCCTTCATGTTTTTGGGCTCTGATGTTTGGTGCACATATATCTCGTGTGTTTGAGCTTTTTGGTGAATTGACTCTTTTATCACTATATAGTGTTCTTGTTTGTCCTCATAACAGGTTTTGACTTAAAGTCTATTTCATCTGATGTTGATAGAGCCACCCCTGCCCTGTTTTGATTACTATTTGCACGGACTATCTTTCCATCCTCTCCTTTTCAACTAATTTGTGTCTTTTGATCTAAAGTGAGTATCTTGTACAGCATATGGTTGGATCAGATTTTTTAATTCATTCTGTCTGTGCCTTTTGATCAGAGAGTTAACCCATTTATATTTAAAGTAATTACTTATTTGTAAAGACTTATTTCTGCCATTTTGCTCTCTGTTTTCTGTATGTCTTTTTTTATCCCTTGTCTCCCTCCATTACTGTCTTCTTTTGAGTTGAAGTTTTTTGTACTTCTGTATTTCGATTACCTTCTCGTTTTCTTTTGTGTATATTCTACAGATACTTTCTTTTTGGTTACCGTGAGGATTACATATAATGTCATGAAGTTATAATATTTAATTTGAATTGATACCAACCTGACTTCAGTTTGCTTACAAAACTCTACTCCTGTAAAGCTTTGTCCCTCCGCTTTATGTTATTAATGTCTCACATTACATCTGTTTCCTTTTTGTTCCCAGTAACATAGATTTATAAATTTCTTTTAACGCGTTTGACTTCTAAGTCCTGTAGAATATAAAAAACAAAACAAAACCAGACATACAGACCATTAAGGCTGCCTTTTATACTTGTCTTTGTCTTTACCTTTGTGGGAAATCTAAATACCTTCCCGTGGCTTCGGGCCGCCCTGTACGTTTTTTTTCATTTCAACCTGTAGGGGACGCCTTTAGCATTTCTTGAAGGACAGTTTTGCCACATAGAGAATTTTTGGTCTCCGGGTCTCTTCTTCCAGTACTTTATAAAAGTTTATTTATTTATTTTGAGAGCGAGTACGTGAGCACAAGTGGTGGGGGAGGGGCAGAGAGAAAGGGAGAGAGAGAATCCCAAGCAGGCTCCACTCTATCAGCGTGCTGTCAGTGTGGAGTCCTAGGAGGAGCTCAGACTCCCGGACCGTGAGCTCAAGACCTGAGCGGAGATCAAGAGTCGGACACTTAACCGACTGAGCCACCGGGAGCCCGTCTTCCAGTACGTTGAACATATCAATCCCCCTGCCTTGTGGTCGCCAGGGTTTCTGAAGAGAGACTGACCTGTAATCGTATTGAGAATCCCACGTCTGGGATGCATCTCTTCCCTCTTCTTGCTTTCCAGGTCTCGCTCTGTGTTTCAGTAGTTTGATTATAATGTGCTTAGCGTGGGTTTCTTTGGGCTTAGCATACTTGGAATTGGGTGATCTTCTTGGATTTGAAGATTTATGTCTTTCATCAAATTTGGGAGATGTGGGGCCATTTTTTCTCTTTAAAAAAGATCTTTACTCCTTTCTCTCTGTCTTTTCCTTCTGGGACCCCCATAATGGGTGTGTTATCCCTGGTGGTCCCCAGACATCTCCTGGGCACTGTTCACTTTTCCCCATTCATTTCTGTCTGCAGCTCAGACTCGGTTATTCCATCCACGTCTCGTCTTCCAGTGCACGATTTGGTTTTCCTCCCGTGCAAATGCGCTCTTGAACTCGTCTCGTGAATGTTTGGTCTCCGTTTTGTACTTTTCAGCTCTAGACTTACTGTTTAGCTCCTTCGAAATTTTTGTTTCTTCACTGGTTATCTTATTTTATTCATATACTGTTTTCCTGGTTTCCTTTCATTCCCTGTTTTCCTTGAATTCTGAGCATATTTAAGACACTGGTTTTAACCTTTTTTCTGATAAGTCTTCTGCAGGCGTGATTTCTGTCACTTTATCCTTTTCCACTGACTAAGCCTTGTTTTTCTATTTTTTGTGTGTGCCTGGATATTTTTGTTGTTGAAAGTTGGGCCCTGGGTGGGTTGTAATGTGGTAACTCTGGAAGTCAGGTTCTCCTCTCCCAGGGTTTTACAGTGTTTTTGTTTTCGTTTTCCTTTCAGTTGTTGAAGGCTGTGGCAATCCATTTGTTTTGAGACCTGTCCAAACCATTTTTGAAAAGACTATCCCCTTGTTGTGTGCGCTCACTGAAGCCTCTGTTCTTTTAGCTCATGTTCAGCTAGTGTTTTGACAGAGATTGCTTTGAATGCCGGGAACTGAAACAAAGAATAAAACAAAAAAGAGAGAACAGCCCGTTTCCCGGACTGTGCAGACTGGTTCTGTGCTGGAACGGTTTTCCGCTGGCTGCCCAGGCTTGCTCGAGCGCAGGGGGGTCAGTCTGAGGGGAGGGCTGTCCCTAGGTCTTCTCGGGCCTTTGTGAGTGTGCATCTCACCTGGGTGTACACGTGGCTCTCTAAAATCCTCCCCCTACCTGGCTGCTTTGGAAGGTCCTAATTTCTCAAAAAGCGTCACCCCAGCTTCTTTCTCAGGCTGTAGATGGTCTCTTATGTTTCCCAAAACTCCCTGCTCGAGGCATCTGATGGCCCGTGGTGCTCTTGTAGCCTCCGCCTCCCTCCTGCTTGTGTTCCTGGTTACGTGAGACAGAGACAAACAGGCCGGTCCTTCAGGTCAGAACAAAACGCACAGGGCGATTTGCCAACAAGGGCTGGTCCTCTCTCCTGTTGGAGGAGGGGAACTGAGAACCTGGTTGCCGTTTTTTTGAAGTTTATTTATTTTTATTTATCTTGAAAGAGGCAGAGACAGTGCAGCAGGGGAGGGACAGAGACAGGGAGAGAGAGAATCCCAAGCAGGCTTCACACCGTCAGTGCAGAGCCCGACGCAGGACTCGAACTCATGAACTGCGAGATCATGAGCAGAGTGGAAACCAAGAGCTGGACGCTTAGCTGACTGAGCCGCCC